TTTCCCTTTTATTTATTATCCCCTTGGTGTAAGTTTGTCCTTTCTTCCCTTTTGAAATATAAGAATCCCGTTTCCCAGTTATACATATTAGTACAACTTTTGTTGCAATTAGTCCAATGGCTTTAGAAAAGTTGACAGACACCTGACAATAGGTGATTAGAAAAGCTCATTGAAGCTTTTTGCTCAGGTGAGATGACAATTTTAGGGATCAATAACACAGACTATTTTCTCTTCCAAAGCTCAAATATCTCTAGTTAGAATGGTTTCTCTTTCACTTGTTTGGCAAAACCACATAAAGTTGTGAAAAGGGTAAAAATAACTTAACAGCCCATTTTAATTTTCGAAAAGTTTTAAGATATGTAAGAAGTTCTTGTTCTTGTGAAGCTTCTTTGAAGCTTTTTTTCCTTGATTAATATTTCCAACTTAAATTTCCATTGAAAGAACTAATTTCTATTTATACTAATTTATGCAATGCATCTATATATACGTTTTTCCAACCCTTTTTGTGTTCTTTGTACGTTTTTTAGATTTTGAAAAAATCTACAAAGTTGACATATATAAATTGAGATAACTTGTCAATAGAAAAGAAGTTATGTTGGCAGATTGAACTTCAGATAAGAAAGCAATTAATCATAGCTCTGAGTAATCAAACAACAATGTTTGGTCAATAATTTTGTCGTTTTTCCCTAAGTAGACAATGTTATGTAAAGTACTGTGAGATTTAGTGCATTATATTTAAAACATTCATACTCTGTAGTTTTCTTAAATGTTCTTCTACATTTATACATATGTATTTAACCCATTTCATTCCATCTTTCTGAACCAATTCTTTATATTTTATTAAATTTTGATTCTGTTTTCATCTAGAACACACAAAATGTTCTTTCAGCCAATTACCTGTTTTTCCTCTTATATGTACATGTACTAGTGTTTTTTATGTTATCTACTTTCTATTTTGTTTTATTTCATTGCATTCTGTCCAAGTATGGAATACAGTTATTCGTCCAATCCCAGAAAGTGGTCCCTTGTAATCTCCCAGCATTGTGTGTGTAAATCTTGTTCTCACTTCTGGCATACACAGCTGGATTTGCTAAGCTTAACATATAATGTACCTTATCGTCATTTTTTAATTCCATATCACGTAAATATCGATCATCGATTGGTGAAATGGATTCAAAATTTGTTTACGCTCCAAGACGTCTGTGCTAGTACCTCTCCGATAATGATTTCTAGCATGACATGAAAGGTTGCATTTATTGTCCGAAACCGCGCCGTATCTTGAATTCCGGATTGTGGGGATTAAGGTCTACATAATTGGTTTAAGGGGAACTTAATGATATAGCGTACTACTTGAATTTTAGAGATAAGATAGACGGGATAAATATTTGATTTTGTACGTACAGGTGCAAATATCTGTCCCTTCGCACAACAATGGTTAGATAGGAAACAAAACCAAATTGAAAAGAAAGCAATTAATTTTGTTCAATTGGGGATTAATTCCCTTGTTGCAAATTGAATGTAACCCCTGCACATGAGTTTGTTGGTAGAAGTAATGGATTAAGAGAGGTGATTATTCACACAATTAGTCGCTGGAGCGCGTGATAAATCGCGTTATAGACCACCGTTGGTTGCTACGATTTCTCTCGATTTCTCAACCCCAATGAATGTGTTTTGAATCAAAAACATAACACAGTATCAAAACATTTGTCGACTGATTTTTCCCTTTGTGTTTTATAGAAATTGATTTCTGGTGAGGAATTTCTCAGTCACCAGGAAAAATTTAGTTAAGGTCAATAATTTTTATAATACATATATTCCATTTATAAGAAAATTATTTCTTAAAAAACATTCTTGCCAAGAAACAGGATATTTTAACAAGAATTGCACTACAGGATTAAAAAATAATATCCCATTAAAAATATTATAAACTTAAGTTAAATCAATTCCATTTAAAAAAAATCACATTTTAAACACTATGGTACTGCTTTCAAGAAAAACTTATAAAGGGGGCGGGACTGTTTTGTTCTCCTGGCTAAATGCTAGTCGAAATTTGAACTTGATTGATATTGAAATTTATTAAAATTCAAGATTTATTGGATTTTAAAGAAGTTTTTAGAATGTAAATTCAAAGAAGAAATATCTACTTGCAGAATACTATGAACATTGTTTACTTCAGAACGACATATTTACATGTTATATATGACTTAAACTGCTGATCAAATACTTATATAGACTTATATTTTCACCTGATTTATAAGAAAGGAATATAAATAGCATATAGAATTACAATATTTTTTCTATATTTTATATCTTGAATAAACGCTTAACATCATATTCAGTTTATGATATTGGGTTTTTATGATATTTTAATTCGACCATTTTATTACATAGCATGTTATATTTTATTACATAAATGCACTTCATTGGAAAATTTAAAAATTGTTTGTTTTCGTATAATGTATTTATTATGTCCAGTTTTTAAGGTTTATCTATAAATACCAATAGAAACATGATTTTAATTTTTGAGAACATTTCATAAACAAATATTAACTATGCAAATAGGTTTTTTTTTCTATCAAGAATTAGAATATTCAAGAAATCAATTCTTTAACAATAAATTCTATGTTTGTGAAATAATATTTATTCATAGAAAAAAATATCCATTAAAAAATGAAGGAATATTATTTAAATAAAATACTACTCAAATTTTATTTTTACGAAATAACAACTATATTTAATTTGGTTTTTTAATATATATATATTGTTTCAGTTGTCGTAATGCTTTGTTCCCTATTTTGACATTTATATTAAAATCAATGTTAAAAATTTACATTCAATGTTCTACATTTATTTAAAAGCAATTCACTTCTTTATATTATTCAACGGGTGATATACTAGTATATTGTATACAAGTATATTGCTAGCAGCAATATGTTTCGTTTAAATAGAAATTGATGTAAAAATGGTTAAACATAAAATACCAATTTAATTCTTAGGAAAAATACGATGAGAAGAATTATATATTTATCTACAGTTTTAACACCGGGGGTTTTCTTCATATGAAATTTTAGAAATTCTTTGTTTTCACTATATCTCTCGGACAATTACTTGAAAAAAACATTGTCTTTCTTTAATGAACACAAAAATAAAATAAAAAAAAAACGGAAAGAGAATTGATCAAACTATTTACTTTAGTTCCGTAGACTAATTATCGACCAAACATCGGTTTGACTTTCCGAAGAAGACGCGTCAAATTAGCGCGGAACAATACTTTGTAGATAATCTCCGATAAGACAAATTTATTAAAACAAACACCCATTTTACAGAATTAAACCCTATTTCAACACATTAAAGATTTAGACGATTTATTTTTAAATTTTTGAGCGCTTAAAAGGCTCATATTCTTGGATCATCTACAATCTATAATTCATCTTCTAGCTTTAATGATCATTTATCTTCATCGATGGGTTTTGTTTTGTCAAGATATGATCCTTTTTCCCGTAATCTGGGTGCACGAGACGCTTTCTGATCCCCAGTTCCCGCGCAGACGGTACAACCAGAAGAGAAGGGAGCAATGTCTCAGACGAGGCCTTCATTTGTGCCAGCAAGTTCTCACAGAACCGGAATATGGTTAAGCTTAAATTATTATGTCAGCTAAAAGATTTTGTGGGAAAATATTTCTTGAGTTGCTAATGTTCATTCATTTATTTGAAAACGGTTTATACCGACTTCTTAAAATATAGTAGTTACCTTTTTGGGATGCATTTATTTGTAAATGTATAAATGGCAAAAGACGATTTATAATTATTATCATCGGTGTCCAACATTAATTATTTATGTTAGTATACTTTTGCTTAATTCTGCATCATTAGAAAATTCAATATCAGCAATACATACTTTCTTTTATTATATAAAAATCAATAATTATAAAGTTAAATTTCATTAGTATACCCGTTATATAGAAAATGACAATAATCTCGTAGAAAAAAGGTAAATTATCCAAGCTACAATGTTATTATTACATCAATGTCATTTATTTGAAACAATCTGAGTTATAGGATCAAAAGTACATTGTTTTCTGTGTATGTATATTGTTTGATGAGGTCTTTTTAAAATGTTACATGTTACCCTGCACACATTTATGTCGTTATCGGGCCCCTTGGTGTAAATAATTCTGGCCACTTTGTAAATATCTATACTTACCAAATGAAACCTTTTGAACAGCCATAAATGGCAACATGTTCAAATATATGATTACATGTTAAAGTTGTTTATTCACCCTCTCCAGTGAACACATTGCTGATATGTCCTTTGATAAGCTATATAAATGTACCCTTAGTTTCAAATTTGCACCTCATTGTTTTAGCCACCTTGGGCATGAAGTTGTTATCTTGTTTAGAGTAAAGATTGTAAATATTTTTCTTTTACTGTGAAATATCTGGTCAGTTTATCTTGTATCATATGATATATAATGAATAATTTTGAATACTACTACAAACAAAATATTTGTAAGAATTCGGATAATGAAATTATAATTTATCTTCATTCTTAGCGATAAATTCTTATATATCCCTTTTTAAAGAATCTCTTTCCTTTTTTACAACAGCCACAACATGTATTTTCAAAATATTTGTATTCTTCTTATTTTCATTTATCTATGAATAGCACATTATGATTAGTTCTCATGATTTTAAAAGTTCAAGTTTGTTTTGGCATTTAGATCATATGTTTGTTATTTGTTGCTGTCCCAGGGGTAAGATGGTTAATTTGACTTTTTTGTTGTAATTCTTTTTATGTCTTATTAAAAGAGAATAAATAAATATTTTTTGTGAAAATTATGCTTCTTGTTTTATGTTTTAAACCTTATTTTTCGTTAATATATGAAGCCTTAGTTGATTTTAATATTATATGAAAACCTATAGATTTAATGGAGCAGGATTAAATGGACAGTTTATTTTGATATTGACTGGCTATCCTTTTTTAAAACGAAATTTCCATACCTCCATAGTCCATCATTCTTGGCATAAACATGCCACCTCTGGCGAACCACTCATTCAAGTAGGGTTGAATCCCTTGATGTGATGGGGGCATTTTAAGTCCAGGATTCATTGGAGAATGAAAAGCACTGCCGGGAAGAATCGGAAGCATGGGGTGACCGGGCTGAGAGCCATATCCGTACATTTGATGGCCCGGAAATAGTCCATGAAGGTGATTGGAGGGGATAAGTGATCCTGGATGCTGGGGATTCAAAAGACCGGGACGAGGAATAAAACTTCCGGTAGAAAAATTCACAGAATTTGACGGAGAGATGCTCGACTCTGGACTAGACGGGCACCTGTTACTTGATCCCGAGGAAGAGGGCCGAGGAGAATCGCATGGAGACTTTGGATGATCCTTTGCCGGATGTCCCTTACTGTTACCGACAGTTGGTATTTTGTTAGTTGCTCCATGAATTTGTCCTTTGCTGCTCAATTTTGAGTCCTGTTTTTGTGTAACGTCATTTGAAAGCAAAGCGTCAATACTAAAGGACATGGTTAAAGTCCCAAACGCAGAATTATCCAAAACCATTAAACACGATGTTAGAATATAAATGGTGCAATTTCGAATGATTTTTCACGTCATATTCTTTGAAAGTTCGTAATTTTCTTCAGTGGCTTGCCTTTTTCAAATTCTTTTGCTTGACCGTTTGATTTTTCCTTGGCTAAATCAGATCGGTCAAATTTGAAGTCTTTCTGAAATCCGGTAGCACAGCAGAGTAATCAATGTGATACTTCCTTATGATTTTATCTTGTTCGTTCAAAATGTGAATGTAAAGGCGGGGCCTACTGGACTTGTTCAAATATGGTTGTCGGTAAATAACTCTGATAGCCCATGCCGATAACAGATTGGCTCAAAATTATTTCACATCAATACATCTCCACTTGGAAAAACAGAGATTGAATACAGCTTATTACTAAAATTAAAATCAAATAGACGAGAAAATGAAAGAGTAAAAATGTGTCTCCTAATGCATTTTTTAGTCTTCAAAACTGCATTGGAAAAATAACGGATTTTCATTCATTTTTTAAAATATTGACTTTTTTTCACATGGTTTGAAATTGAAGATACACCATGTAATCATATTTCAATAAAAAGAAGTGGCTATGACCGTTATCTTTATAACCCCATTATCTTCCAGTAAATGACCACTTAGCTCTCTAGAGAACGGAAGCTAATCATTGTCCTAATCCCGCCTGTAATACCCGTTATGAATGGTCCTTACAATACCTCTCAATGGAACGATACTTCAGGAAATCGCCATTTGTTCTAAAGAGGTAATGAATAATAAATAATATAAATAAGTTTGTATGATTTTTCTTCTCTTGAGTATGCAGCAAAAAGCATTTACACTTGTATTCAATTCACTTGATAAAATTCAGGCACATTTGGAAAAAAAAAACATAATGTTAATTCTTTTTTATATTATTGCACTAGTTTTAAACTACTTTATTTATTTATTTATTTATTTATTATCTTTTAACTTAATTTTTATGTAATATGTACATGTACCTCGTTTTTTACTCGAAATTCAGAAATTTAAACATTACATGTACATGCATTTGGTGATCGCTTTGTTTTATTTGATTTAAAATGTAGAAACATTTTTTTAAAAATTATTTTCAAGTGCAGCGATTTAGATTAATTTTGTTATGTTTGAACAAAATTCCAATACTAGAATACTTTTTTAAATATCAAAGAGTGTTCCTGTTATGCAAAATAAACGCTAAACAAAGCTAAAAATTGTGATTTTTCTAACTTTCCAAAATTAATTAAGGAAAAAAGTTTTTTTAATGCTATTCTTATATCAAAGATTTTCCTTTTTTCTAAATATCGAAAATAGTTTAACATTTATTTGATGCAAATGAAAAGTGAAGATAAACAGTATATCATTTTCAAAAGTATATCTAAATAATATAATTTATCAGTAGAAATTAGAAGAGCATATGAAAATAGAGGTGGGATCAGATATCATGAATCAGTAAGCATTCCAAAATTACAATATATGATCTTCACAAAACTTAAGGAAACCAAAGTATATAATTAACGAAGAAAGTCAAATTTAGCAATTTGCAAAATTTCTTATGTGAAGTAAAAATTGATATTGTTTTTTTACTTCAAATTTTTTTTATTCATTATCTTAAATTTTCAAATAAATTCAGTTGATATAAAACGCATAGTAGCATTATTATTCATATGACAAAAAATGGGTATACATGTCCCAATTTTTTTTCTTTTTTTATTAATGACATTTATAATGTTAAAAATCAACAATGCCTGAATGCCTTGCAAATGTTTGAATACATTTTGTCAAATCAAATAAAAAAGTCACGTTTTTAATAGACTCACGGCGCGCTTGACCGATCAACGTGGGATGCTTACTCCTGCTGGGCACCTGTTCCCTCCTTTGCCATTTCCACAAGGGCCTGTATTTATGTCTTATTCACAGAAAGGATTGTATTATTTGAAGTTTTTATGGGATCCAACACTGTTTGTAATCTTAACTCTTTTTTAAATTAAATTATAATTCATCCCATAAGTTTTTGGAATATTGGAGATAATAAACAGTATCAAACCTCAAAGGCTCATTTAACAATACAAAATAGGAGCAGAGCAAACACGAACCCCCAAAACATCAGAGGCGGGATCAAGTCCCATGGAGGACTGAGCATCCCCTACCGACCGCAGGCACACCCACCGGGTGCTCCTTATCATAATTGGGAAATTTTGGAAAAATCTGTCGACTCCATAGTCGACAATTCATTGTGCAAATAATGGCCTAACAATTAGTATGAAAAACGTCTGTCAGCATTTGACTCAATGATAAATTGTATGTACTGACGAGGTCATTGTATCGACCATAGAACTTACGAAATGATGACTTTAAACGAGACTGCTGATATTCTTTTAATTTTTCATCAACTTGTTTGTCAATAACTTACTTCGTTTTAGAAATTGTTCATACGTAGAGCATGCTCTAGATTCAATCAGAAACTTAAGCATCTTTTTTTTATATCAACCACAGAGTACTTATGTGTACAATTAGAATGTTTTAAACAAAAAATTTTGCAAATGACCAATGACAAGATAAGCAAATTTAAGAGTTAAAATTCTATTGAATAAGCAGCTGTTAATGATATAAAATAGGCTTGGACTTTAATTTATTGTGGGGAATGGTTGTGTATAAAGTTGAAAAGTCGCAAGTTTTTAAGCTGTTGATTTTTGTAAAATCTTGTGATTTCCAAACGTCCTGGAATTTTTAAGTATCCACATCTGATTTATATCACTTCTCGAATATATTTTTGTACAGTACTCTTCAAGCTCCTCCTTCACTGCTGTTAATATGTTAGTGAGGAGTAAAGAAAGAGACTTGGTTGAACATTTACTGGAACCCACTATGTATCTTTGTTTGTAAGGATTTTTATGAAGTTGGATAAAGAAACGTCATAATTTTTTTTGACTGTAGTTTCAATTTTTTTGGTGGGAGCTTTTGGCCAAAAATATGATTTTGTCTATATGATAGTTTTTAGAGAGCTATTTCGTCATATTAAATTATTAGTAAAAATTGTTGTTTCTTGAACACTTAATTATGAGATCTGATTTAGTACGAAAACAAAAAAAAAATGTGTTTGATAAAAGCAATGAAGCCAACTCTCTTTGACTTAAGCCAGAATCACCCGGCTATTTAGAATACTACAGTCCATATCATGAGTGTGCTATCTGTCATATAACAAAGCAAATCTAAATCGCAGTTGAAAACAAATCTCAAAGTGTGTTTTAGTTTGTGTGCTTTTGTATATTTATTGAAAGATGCGAAGTCAGATATTTATTTTTTTTATTTTAATTCACATATTTTTATACCAATTTCGTTTTGTTTTCTGTATTTTTCTCTCAATGAAGAAAGCAACAAAAGAGATAATTTGTTATACTTCTTTAACCATTCGAGTATTTTTACTCATATTGCATTTGCTTGTGAAGACCTACAAATTTAAACTTGTACTAGGCACTTGAGCCTTTGGGCAATCAGGAATCAATTCTGTACCAGTGCCTACCTACACGGGACTTCAGTTCATATGAACTCCTACGAAGAACTGGAGTCTCCTGTTTTGGCGCAATGGCACTGCGTCTGCTCTAGAGTCGCGGAGTAAGGAGTTGATCCTTACGCCGCGGGTTCGAATCCCACTGTGGGACGTTGAGAACAGTCCTTCGAATGAGACCGAATAAACAGAGTTTCCATTTATGTCTTCTAATGCTTATAGGCAAGATCACCGCAGCTTGTTTTTGCTAATTTTGTAAAGTCAAATAAAACACTTTGATGTTGATGAAAAATGTCATTTATTAAAATGACGGTATAAATGTGAACAATTTAACAAACAAGAAGGGGGATCAGATTCACAAGCTTTGCTTATCAGTTACGTAAAATATGATAATGTCTGATCCCCCAAAACTGACTATAAAAAAGTATCTGTAAGACAAGACAATCAAAACATCATATTAAAAAGTTAGCAAATAGATGGCACATCAAAATAAAATAGGCCACAGAGTTTCCATGCTGCAGTAGGTGCTGGTACTAAAAAGATCCCTCGCTTCTCAATTGATCTGGGTGCCGAATATAGATTTTTTTAAAAAAATGTAAAGCTCTCCACCGGCAAGTTTTGGCGTCTCCGTATGAGGGATAAATTCTTGAGAGGGACGTTATACAACAAACAACGAAAGGGTACGTTAAACAACAATGAACAAACAAACGAAGGATCGGACTCCGTCTTCGATACAACACATAAATTCAATTTCAATTTTTGCAGGTGAATATGGAATTTATTTCACGAGTGATTTTTTTTAAAGCAAAGCATGAGTAAAAATACTGAGTATCAAACAATCTGTCACACGAGTAAAATAGATTCCATAGTCAACTTTAAAAAGTTGAATTTTTATTTTTTGTCTCTGTTTTTTCGTACCACGGAGTCAAAGGATGTGACTTCACAGTTTAGCAAATGCAAGTAACTGGAGTTTATTTTTAGAAAACTGATTTTCAACCACCTTTTTTCATGTTGCATTTTAAAAAATAAATGAAAGTATCAATATGATTTGACTTATTAATGGCAAAGAAAAGAAAATAAAACATTGCACCTAAATTTAAAATATTATAAAGGCTGTAAAGGCTAAAAAATATTAAATATTGTAAACATATATAGACTAAAATTAGATCGAGATTCAAATTTAAATTACGCAAATGAATTATGCCTTTTAGTTTTATTCATGAGAAGGGAAGAGAACCTCCTCAAACATAAAATGATATAATATTAAGATCTAAACTTTAAAAAAGCATGTTACGACGTGGTTGGATATTAACATATTTTTATTTAGAATCATACGTTGTAGTAGTAATTTGGGATAAATTATATATTAGACATATCTTAAATGATAGTGCGCTTTCAAACTGCTCTTTGACAACTTCCATTAAAAAGAATTTCATTATTTTTGAGTATTCATTTAAAATGTACAATCAAAATCGATGGAAATTCTGCAGAAGTAATTTGCATCGCCTGGGGATGAGAATAATTTTTATAAAAAAAATTGGGGAAAAAAGATAAAATACAAGGTCCCAAACGTTATAATGATATCAGAATTTAAGCAAGAAAAAAATCTTCGCTTATTACTTCATATAAATG